ATTCACTAGTTACAATTTCCATTAATAGTAAACGTGTTATCCCAAACTCTGATCACTACATTTTATTAAACCTTCTATAAAAAAATATAAATCTATTTAATTCTTATTTATTAGTAAAACAGAGGAGTGATATTATAAGTACGGACACTTTGCCCTCTATTTCAACCTTCATTGCACCTCTGTGATGAAATATAGCCATGATTTAACTGTGTAAGGCAATGCTTTCTACCATTTTAATGAAAACAGCAGTGTAAATCATGAAAACCAAACTTTGGTTTGGCCAGACTATACAATCATCTTTTTAGTGATAAAGAAACATTAACATTTCCAAGGAGCACAAGAGATAAATGGGATAGAAGTTTTATAATTTAATCTGCGTGAAGTTACTTGCACTGGCCACGTCTTTCTCTCCCTGACCTTAGCTGCCAGTTCAATACTGACTCACTGGGAAAGGCATCATCCACTGAATGATGACTACTGCCAGGAACACTTGCATACAAATTTCTCAAGAAATGTATCTATTAGACGATGGTTATCAGTTTGAATGACCACTGAAGTCACAAGCCAAAAAAATAATGCACGACAGAGTAGTACTACACTCTCAAAGGTACTTTCTTAATGTCTAGTTTTTCTGAAACTTTGGGTCTAGTCTTTTATATATGTATGTATTCATTCATTTATTCATTAACATACTTAATAGTCCCATCTGTCCTTCTTTTATTCCTCAGCTAACTGGAAGATTTACTTAAGTCACAAAGATCCATTCTTCCTTTATGAATTGTCTCATCCCACCACTGCAGCACCATTACGGTTTACAGTCACTTGGACTTTGCATTGATTTGGCTGTATACTGAAGTAGGAAACTTTTCCTCCTAATGATCTCATTAGACTGTGATGAATAATCTCCCCAGGGAGGTCATCAAAGCCATGTTATCAGCATTATTTAAGCCTTCTACCCTTCTTAATCATTTTTATTACAGCGTTGTCTACAAACCCAAGCTAAGATTGGAAATTCCATTGTACTGGGTGCACGGTTAAGTGTAGTCCTTGCCCTAAAGACCTTAACATCTAATTAGATTAGACAGCTGTGACAGCAATGTTCAAAATGTCATAAACATTTTTAAAGCTTGCCACACGTTTTCCACCAATACCACCTCAGGCTTGAAACTTAAAATTGTAGAATAGGGAACCAGAACTTTCAAGGAAATCTAAGCATTCAATTTACACGGAAAATAAGGAATAGGTGCCTGAACTGGGATAAATTAGAATCTAAGAATTTATATTCAAAGTTCTCTCTCCTCCTTTCTGACTTGTGCTGCTATTTTAACCCCCAGTAAATATTTCCTTCATTGACATAAAGCAAATAATGCTTTATCAAACTCTCTCATTTAGAAAGACTGACATAATTTTATAAATTAAATAATAACCTGAAGTGAGCATAATTTCTGCTGTGGTTCTGTCCAAACACAACCTAAATCCTTATACGTGCATTTTCACACAAAAGCACCCATACACACTGCTGCATGCTGCTCTAAGAATTATTAGAGACCAAGAAAGTTACAACACTGGCAACATGTTTAGCGGTTTATGTATCCAGCAACTGAGCTCATGAGAGGAAAGAACATCAAGTCACTCAGATCTGAATATTATCAAAATTTCTTATATCAAAATTTATTATCAAAATTTCATCAAATATTATGTACAGTTCACTTCAGTGGGTATCTCAGCACTGAATCTCAATACACACACACTTTTATTAATTGTAATTAGTTATACTAATCCAAATACTGTTGGAACCAGCTTCCTTTTAGAGGGGCGTTAGGGTTTGTCCTTTGCTGTCCTTTCCCCAAGAACAAAATTCTGTGTGCAGTAATGTAATCTGGTTTAGTAGGATTCAACAAATATGACAAAAAGTGCAAGAGAGAGACGGAAGAAGAGATCACTTTCTTTAGCACTCCAAAAATATGACAGTGTGAAAACACATATGAACACACAAGCACTTCACCTTATTGCTTGTAAAAATGAGAAAATTGAATTAAAATTGCATACCTATTAATTACATATAATCTACCCATAGCTCATAAAATGTACATAGTAGAATGTATCCATCATTTTAATTGTGTATCACTTAATACATCAGCATATTGTTTTCATCATTATACACCAAATTGTACTTTCTTTGTACTAATTTTGTTCATTATTACCACCTGACTATGTTCTTGATAAAACCCTGCAATATGGGGAAACATAGGGGACCTTATTATGGTGGATACCTAGTAGAATCTAATACCTTAGCAATAATTTTCCTTCTTTTTTATTGAAATCAATTTCTTTGTGAACAAAGAGAGCACTGCATTTTGTTTTGCTATCTTATAGGACAAGGGAAGCAGTATTGCTATTGGGATATATCCAAATATGCCCCTAAGACTTCTCCAGAGAGTTGAAAAGAATTGTAAGTAAAGACCCTGTAGTCCTCCTGTTCATGCTGTGTATTATTCTTTACAGTGACAACACTCTAGACCATTTCACATGGCAGATATTAGCAATATGGACATGAAAGACATTTTCAGGAAAAATGCACATAAACATCTGCCAGGTTTCAAAGCACTTCTGGAGCTGTTGTGCCAGTGGTTCCTTTTAAAAACAGGGTATTTATGAGGGTGGAAATGAATACATCTGATCACTAATTCATTCTCTTCTTCCAAACCCATAACCCTTCCTGTGACATCCTGTTCTCAATAGCTCTGATCTGCAGGTAATATTTGGTTCAGTTGGAAGCAGGGTGTAAAAAGTGAACACTCCTTTCTCAAAAGGAATGCTGGGTCAGTGGAAGAGGGCTAACACAATTCTTATAATGCAGCATCCTGGAATTTAGAAAAAAATATTAAGACTAAAATAATACAAATTAATGAATACTAGCAGTCTTGATTTTGCTCAAGGTGAGATCGAGATTTATTTATTTATTTTTTTATTAATCAAAAGAAAAAAGTCCCTTTGCAAATACACCTTGTAGATGTTCTTCTGTGCTGTTATTTAATAGTGTTAGATCACTCTTCACCTTTGTGTTCATTCTGTGTAGTTTCACTGTGGCCATGAAGCAAAATCCTTGCTGAGTTACACCAAGCTAATTCCACTGAAATTAGTGACATTTCACTGGATAATACAGAAACACTCAGTATCAGTATAAGTTGTTAAATCTTGGAAAACTCCAATACATTGAATTATAAATGTAACATATTTCCTGTATAACATGCTCTAGGTGAGCAAGGTGGTCAGACTAGATGAACTCTGAAGGTCCCTTCCAACCTCAACCACTCTGTGATTCTGTGACTAAATTTAGTATTTAATTTTTCTAAATTGTGATAGAAGGATTTATGAAGACCTCATACGGCACCCATTGATTAAACAGAGTTATTGCTTAGTGGTCTGGGAAAGCGGAGAGGAATTGGAGTACATGAGCTGTCTATGAGGCAGAAAGCCTATGTAAGCTTAGTAATCAAATGTTTCAGTGATTAAACAGAAAACAAAACACTAACTACGTTTATGCTCCGTGGGCACATTAAGCTTTGAACTTTTTCAGAGTTCAGTGCAGCAAACTGTGATAAAAAATTCGCTGGCAAGGAAATACTAATTTCAAAGAATATTCTTTCTGGGATAGCTAAAATCAACATTGGCTTTTCTACAGGAAAATATTATTTAGGCTGTTCTACCTCCATTGCTGAAACCACATCACCTTTAAATGAATTATCAAACAGCCAAAGGCTAAGTAAGAACAGATCTATAGCATTCTCCCCAGTCTGAGAAACGTCTAGATCCCAATTAAATGACAGTACATTGGGTGGCTTGTTTGTTTGTTTCAGTTATAGAAAAATTGCCCTGTACTGCAGTAGTTCCTCCAAAATGTTCAATGCAATATGATCTTTTAAACTCTAATAACTAGATATGGATAAAATTATTCAGATAAAAATGATGCCAAAAATATAAGAATGTGAAGAAAACTGTTTTGGTCATGTAGCAAGAAAAGAAGGGCTGAATACAAAAGAAGATATGTAGAACACAAAGTGAGAAAGAGCAAGGAGGATGTACAGAGCAATGTCAATGGAGCAATTGACACTGACATTGTATAAAGAGTTCCATACATCCCTATGACCAATTATTACATGATATTTTGTCATCAATGGGATAAAATTAATGACAGATAACATGGTGTGTATATGATCATGTTTCACAAAGGATAGGATCACAAATGAAATAACATACTCTTTTCAGTTGAATTAAAATAAGATTATGCTTTCTTTATCTTTGATACCTATTTAAATCAGATACCTATACACAGTGGTACATCTGTCATACTTTTTTAAAAAATGTTAAGTATAAAGCATTAAAACAGATTCTGTTTATAAAATTCACCCACAATTTCACTGATATTCCAAGATATAGTTTTAGACACTTTTCAATTGTATTTATTTTTTTTAATGTATTCAGGGACTCAAACATAGGTGTGCCATGGGTCTGTCTATGCACAGTCTTTGCTGGAGTAACTGTGCAGCAATGTTTACTACTTATCAGTGAAAAGAGGGGCTGAGACTTTCAAGACGACAGTTCATTAAACCAGAAAAACATTAGGTCTTATAAACTTGTCACAAAGTTGCAATATTTTCTTTTCTATCTTGCTTATAACCCAAATAAAATTTCCAGCAATGGAACAGTGATGGGTTTTGATTCTACATTATAGAACAAATTTAATTAAGTGATGCACATTCTAAATAAGGGAAATGGTTTAGTCCCCTGACATTTCAAATGAGAAAATTCAATCACAGGCACAATGAAGCATAGCCATTTTACTTATTTATTTATTTTACTCTTGATCACCAAAGTTTTATTTTATTAGCCTGCCTGATATTTCACAACTATTCTGCAGGTCTGTAGATAAGTTAAATAAGAATTGAACATACTTTTATGATAGATTAAAAATGTCATCAATTGCTTTACCACATCCATTGAGAAAATTTATTTTATTGTGATATATTAAATTCCAGGACAACTCCAATTTATGCTGCGATCTAGTAAATGTCATCTCGAATCACACTTAAAATAGTTATCCAACTAGTCTATATAAAATTCAGCTACCATATAGTATTTGATTATAGCCATATTGAATTAATTTAAAATAACAGATAATTGAGTTGATTAAGGTATTTCCAAATTCTCCATGAAGATACCCTGGCTTGTTCAGACAAAATGGCAGAGCCTTCGACTCATCTGTTTCTTCCAGAATAAGTACAGCTACCCTTGTTTCACTTGCATGGAGTAGTAAGGTTTCACTGTCATATCTTCTTAGATCAGTATGACCTTGTAAACAGTTCAGTATCTTTTCTTTTTTTTTAAACAAACAAACAAACAAAAAAAAAAAAAAAAACAGAAATAAAATCAGTGATACCATTTTTGTGCAGGGGTGCCTACAGCATAGCAATATATGCCAATGAAGACATATAGGATGTCTATGAATAGGATGTTTACTGGATGTCTATAGGATGTACATAGGATGTCTATGCCTATGAATAGGATGTTTACTGGATACAAAAGTTTTTCACAGAATCACAGAATGGCTGCACTTGGAATGAACCTCTGGAGCCATCTGGTCCAAGCCCTCTGCTTAAGCAGAGACACCTAGAACAGGTTCACCTGGACACAGTCCAGGTGACTTTTGAAGATCTCCAAGGAGGGAGACTCTACAACCTCTCTGGGAAACCTGTGCCAGTGCTCCATCAAGCTCCATCAAGCATATCCTGCTTAGTAAAGTGCTTCCTGCTGTTTAGACACAGTTTGAGTTCCAGTTTGTTCCCACTGACTCTTGTCCTAGCATTAGGCATCACTGAAAACAGTCTGCCTGTCTTTTCTGCACCCTCCTTTCAGGTATTTATAGACATTAATAAAATCTCCCTTGAGCCTCTTATCTCCTCTTCTCCAGGCCAAACAGACCCAGCTCTCTCAGCCTCTCCTGAAGAGGTGCTCCAGTCCAATCATTTTGGTCCTATATTCGACTCTCTTATGTCCAGGTCTGTTGTAGTAGTGGTGGACCCACAACTGAACACAGTACTCCAACACAATACTTGAACATAAACTCACGAGAAAATGCATTTATATATATGCATATTAACAGTGTAGGTTTGGAAAGAATAATATCTACTAACAGTAAAATGATCAAGTAACAAAGATGCCACTCTGACCACTCTAATGAGGATAGGCAATAAAATTTAATTTTACCATTGATTTTAATCAACTATTTACCCTACTGCTGACATGCACAATAGTACATCTTTTCCTATCCTGCAGTCAGATTTTCTGTGATGAAAACTGTATGTGTAAAGCAAAACCTCATCTGGATCATATCCCCATAGTATTTTCTTAAATATATAATAAATCAATATGTGCCTCTCTACTGTATCTAATTCTATCACTGAATAGAGCTGAGAAGAAGCTGGATCCTCCTTTTTTCACTCTCCTTTATTTTTTTTTTAATAAACAGTGTCCTGGAACTAGAGACACAGCAAATGTCTCAGTCTGCAACAGGAGATTCAAAGATCCAAAAGCTTTAGACTCCATTAATTTTGAATGAATAAGATCTTTTCTATCCTGAAATACACACAATAATACCAAACTAACCTTTTAACATAAAGTCTGTATTTTAAATAACCTCTATATGAAATTGACAGCAATAAAACATGTTATTAACAATACTATGACATTGTTTCTTACAGAGAAAAAAGTATTGTCAAGACTAGTTATATAAATATCATCTTTTCAGATAGTTAAGAAATATTTTTCCTTTGTCCTCATTTAACTTACTGCTCCCTTTCTTCATTCTTCTTATTTTTTTTATTTCTTTCGGTAGATTAGTAGTTAAAAACAAATTGCTAGAGCGAAAAGTATTTAATTAACATAACAAAAAAAGTACTTCATATCCTTCTGGGATCTTCTTTTGACTCAAATACATTTAGAGATGATGAGGGGTACCTTTCATAGGTCCCTCTTGGGAAGTTATGTGCTCAAGTCACGTTTACATTAAAAAGATTTGTTTGTGTAGCTCCCTGTACACCATTTTGAAGACATGCTTCTTGGAATATCAAATTATATTCTATTTGATAGATGTGAAGTCTGCTAAGAATACCAGAGTGAATTTTCTTGCTTGCTTGTCCTTCAGTTCAAAATTAGCATTTTGCAAGTTATTTAATTTAGTCTGATAGGCATATAGGAACTGATATTACAAAGGCTTTCAAATACCTTCACTAAACTATTATCATACTTAGAAATCCCTGATAGCACTTGTCTAAGTGGTGTGTGTGTGTGTGTGTGTGTCTATTTTCTTCTTTTTATGATTATAAGAAAAAACTGGTTTTTCTTTTTTTTTTCTTACTTTTAGAAGTATCTGGTATTTGGAGAGGAAAAATAAAGACAGCATTCAAGATGGAAAAAACTGTGATATTTAAGATCAGCTTTGATGATTAAACACGTATTTTATTTACCTGTATTTCATAAAAGTCCAACAGGCTCTTAAGCCTGGAAAACTCTAATTTTCTACTTGTAGTCAAGTTGTGAAGAACTACCGTGTATCAGGTTAGGGGGTCACACTGCACTGGGTCATACAGAATAAGGACCATTTCTACAATAAAGAAAACATGTCATGTATTTATCTATATATGCATATATATATATAAATTTAGCTTTAACTGAATCCCAGACCCTCTAAAAAAAATATTGAACCTCCAACTGAAATCAATGGGGATAGGTTGCAGCAATGCCCATTTTCTTAATGGAAGGAACTTGGTGATATTTTCCAACATCCTATGAACTCCTACAAAATAACAGTTAAAACTAAAAGGAAATTACATCAGAGAGAAGTGTTTCAGTAGAGTATATGGTTGTCTATATGGTGCTCTGCAAATAGGCAGATATAGGTAACAGATTTCTTAACTGATTTATATGGAGTCTCATATGTCAGGACATAACTTAATGTAAGCTTTTTACTCACACATAGATACCCCCCCTTTTCCCCCTTTTTTTTTTCCTCTCTAGAAAATAAATTATACCATAACATCTACTTAAGAACTCCTAGCATTATCTTTTTCCATTATCACAGGTTACAATTCTTGGAGTATGTGGATCATTCTTTCTGCCTTTTATAATTTGTAAAGCTGAATATTTATTGGAGCCTTTGCTCCATTTTCTTACTTATTGGTACAGTTAGGTCCTATATATGATATACATGTTCTTTCAAACCAAACCTATGTATTTATATTATAGATAACCGGACTGAATATACACTTTGGGAGCTTATGAAAAGAAATCTTCAAGTCTCAAATCTCATCTTTTTATGAAACTCTCATCTTCACACAGTAAAAAAGAGAGAAATGCCAAATTGAGCTAATGGTTAGCAAGGGGGAAAGCTTTCATTGGAGAGAAAGATCCCTGGGAAATCCATACAAAAAATAGAAATGAATAGATTTTCCCCCCAGCCTTCTTTTAAAGCACAAGCTGCTTTGTTTGTTAGGCAAACTTCTATATATGATACTATCCGCCATGATCCTCTCTATCATTATTTTGCTTCATCCACTTTGATTCTGAGCTCAGTTTCATTGGAGGCTGCTTATGACCACCTTGTATAGTTATTATGTTACTGTCGGTGCTGAGATTGTGCTATGCCAGGATACTGCAAACAAGGCACATCTGTCAGTGCCATGAGCCACCTCTCCTGCAGCCTACTGCTTTTCCCAGACATATTTCCTCTCTTTTTAGAGTTTAACACATCGTTATTGGTTCTAAGCCTAAACCATGGAAACAAACAGTACTAAGCCTGTCTCTTGAAAGCACTGGTGCTGGTCACTGACAAGGACGGAGGACTTGAGAGCCTTGATATCTCCAATTTCATCATCATAGCTACTGACATGACGTATGACTATTAAATACTATAAGGTAACACATATATACTGCAGAAGATGTATACCAAACTGCTCTGTGCATACAGGTCAGTTCAGACAGGTAGGAAACCAGTCTCTAAATTAAACCTCTGATCAATCTCTCAAACACATATTCCAAGACAGCAAGTTTTGCCCTATGAGAGGCAAATGGTTCTCCTCATCTTCTTGTATAGAGATCCAAACTCAGACAAAAATTTCAAAACTGTCTGTTAATATGAATTTTGCTTTCCCATAAAATATGACACACCAAATTTGATTCAGAAATCACTGCTCATTTATATATTACTCTTACTTTACTTCATACTCTCTACTTACTCTTCATTACTCACTGCCAAAAGTTATTTCTGTGAATGAAATCAAAATGTTCAGATAATGGAGGTCTTCCAGTGTCAGATATGTAAGCAAGAGACATAACCATAGTTAAGTTCAAAGTTTTCTGTATTGTCATTTCTTGTCCAGTTACTCACTAACATACAAAGTAGGTAACTTGAGTTCCAGTTACATTATGACATCCTATTTCAAAAAATACTTTAAACAGGGAAGAAACATAAACTTTCAATAAACCTCTCAGTTACACCTGTTACGGCATGATTATAGCACTTCAGATATCAGAGACAGAAAAAGACCTCTGTGTTCATCCACTACCAATAAAAAATTGATCTCTACAGTATATGCTCATCTGTAACACATACAGCACTGGAAGGAAGATCCTGTGAGTGTAGAGCCTCAGGCTCTGCCACTGCCATCTACCTTTCCCTGAGCACATTAAGTGCCATGTTTTTCCTTTCATTGCTCTCCTTTTATCTACTCTTCTAAACCTCTTTGTTCCTCTGTTTGGTTTTCATCTACTTTGAGCTGTAGTTGTGGTACTGAATGCTGATGAGACAATAAAGTGTTCTAACTCAGAAAGTTACTTTTCAGCTGTATTTCTTAGCATAACACAGCCAGTGCATTTGTATGGGGAGTCTCTGCATTGAGGTACTGTATTAAGGGCAGTTAACTCAGCTCCTTGCAAGTACCCTGAGTTCATGAGAGATTGCAAGCATGGATCACTACTGCAGCACAGACAGAGGCTGAAAACACAACACACTTTCAAGTTACTGTTTCTCACCCTCTGCCTTCCCAATGTCCTGCTGGTGCCATGCTTTCTCAGAGTTCATCCTAGCTCCGTGGACAGGGCCATTCCCACCTTCACCTCTCCTATGCTGTTTCCTCAGATCCATCTCAGCGTTTCTAATTCAATTCCTTCCTCAGCCTGACCATGCCAGTTAACTCCTTCAACAAAAATACTTGTACAACTACACTTGGGTCTATTTTGGTTGTTGTCGTTGTGTTTTTTTTTTGTTTGTTTGTTTTGGTTTTGGTTTTGGTTTTTTTTGAATGCTTGTTTGTTTGTTTTCAGAACTACAAGGAAGAATTAAAAAAACTAGAACTGAAGTGGCCATCCAAGGTTACTGAGGGCATGCACCTCCATTTGAGGGCACTGGTAGTAAGTGCCCTTAATATAGTAAGTGGAAAACCAGCTATGTGAATTTTTATCTTTCTACCTCTATACTACACAATAACTTATAACAGAAAAATAATAAAACATTTCCTAAGAAAAAAAAAAATCATTTTGTCACAGAAAGCAAAAATCTCAGGAAATAAAGCCTTTAGAGGAAATAACTCAGAATTCTTAAACTCACTCCCTATTTTTCTCCCTATCAGAAGAGTAAGACAGAAAGGTTGAATCTGAACAAATAATATGACATACACATCATTTATCATGTGCATCAGTCATTGGAAAGTAAAATTTCGATTTCTTTCACAAGCATCATAAGAATTTGGACCTAAAATAAGAAAGATTTTTAGTTTTGTTTGGCACCTCTACTCCAGGAAGGCAAATCAAAAATACATAGATGATGCATTGCTGTACAATACTGTAGCCCCATTAAATTACTTTTGAAAGTTTTGAAAGCAAATGCAGTATTTTATTTTTCCCTTGTTCCTTAAAAATTTTCTCTGTAGCTAACAGATAATATGCTGGGTCTTAAACAAACAACATAAACCTCTTTTTTACCATAGTAATCCATCTTCTAGAAGAAACACAAACAAGATGCATCCAGCAATTTTTTCATTACTTCAACTCTTGGCAGAATATAAAAATTAAATTCAGAGAGGGTTAAGGTAACGCTGATCAACTGGTGGAAGCAACTTTGACAAAATGGTAAAGATGGAATGTTGCATTTTGAGCCACCACAATGCTAACGATATGTTATACAGGTACTGGGTGTCTCTGCACAACAGGAAGTTATTATTTCTTGTAAGAGGTAAAAACTCTTGAGACTATCAGATCTGCTGGTGCTGCTATAATATCAGATAAACACATTGACACACATTCGTCTAGTAGCCTGAAGATCTTCTAAGGTTATGCTATTTATTGCCCCATTTATTGCCTCAGTGCAGAGCTCCTGCTTGTAGGCCAGGTAATTTTACAGAAAAGTCCACAGTGAAATAGTGACAAAACAGTAGAGTTTTACTTAAACATATAATTTCCTTTACGTAGAGCATTATACTCTTTCCAAAATTTGTATCCCTTCTTTATTATAAAAAATGTGTAGAGTATTGAAAATCTCAGGAAAGATTTGTGTTTTCTGCTAAGCTTTACAAAGATTTCCCATAAATATAAATTGCCCCTGAAGGTACACATAAAGTGATGCAGCAGTGACTTTTTTTCCAGAAAGCATGAGACAACTACTTTTCTTGAGGTTGCATCTGTTCATCTTTAGCTGCAATGCTCAGCTAGATAGTCCAGTTGCTTGCTACTTCAGGGAAAGCCTCTGGTCCCCTTAGACATCCTGGCAATTAGTATGTTTCAAAGACCCAGGACTGAAGCAAGTGTGTTATTGATAAAAGAAAAGGCAGTTCTGCCACACTCCTGTTAGGCAAACATTATTTTACTGACATTTTCTGCACCCTCTAAGCCTGATTATTTCAATGGGCTACACCCTAAAAGGATTTTAGGTAGATTTCATGGGCCTTTTATTTTAGACATGAATGGGAGAGACTTAAGATCATCTCTCGCCCTGAATCAGTCTCTAAAAGTAGTATAATTATGGACTGATTGAAGAAGATCTGGAAGAAGTGGGTGGTTGCTTCAGTTTACCCAGGAAAAATTAAAAGGGTTATAGTAATACCCAGATGGGCATGAGAACATTACAGCCCACAGCAGGCTGCTTGGCCAGGTAAGCACATAGTATACCTCACTCCCACTGCCACATCTACACCCCAACTGCTGCTGTCACACATTGACTCACTAAGCAAGCTTTATGCATTTGAGTATGAATGGCGTTACCAGAGTACAGAGGAAATCACTATTTGATCTCATAGAATGGATCCAAGAGCACTGCAATTTCTGTAAATTGCTATAGAAACCTTTTAAGAACAATGATAAAGCAGATAAATGTTTTCTCACTCTATGCATTTGAAAAAGAAAATAAACATGTCTAAGTATTATTTGCCATTATTTGGTTGACATTGGCTGTCTGCCCACCCAGCTGCTCTCACATCCCCTTCTAACCAAGGATGGGGCAGTGTCACAGGAGAATTACAGAAACTAGTTCTTGTGATGAGGTTAACCCAAAGGACTTTTTAATCAACAGAGAAACAGAATTAATGATTGAACACAAAAGGCAGTCTGCATTCTATTATGATTGGTTGAATCCTCTACTACCTACTATATGCCCAATAGTTAAGCTAGTTTGATGTACACAAATTATTGTTTAAGCTTGACATGTATGCATTGCATGCATATACATGTAGAAATGTTACTTACCTTGCTGTAAAGATCAGATGCTGGGTAAGAGCTCTCTCTTGGCTGTTAAGAATAGAGCTGAATAGTGAAAAATAAAGACAAGTTAAAATCAAACAAACAAACTGCTTTCTCCTTTACCTCCAAGTAGTGTAGGGTGTATGGAGAATAGGGTGTTATGGTTAGTCTGTAACAGCTCCCCTCTGCCACTTCTTACTCCTCATACTCTTAACCCTGCTCTAGCATGGGTCCTCTCCACAGGCTGCGGTCCTCCAGGAAAAACGTGTGCCAGCACGCAATCTCCACAGGCAGCAGCTTCTCTCAGGACACCCACTTGCTCTAGTGTGGGTTCCTCCACATCCTGCATTGTGGATATCTGCTCTGACATGGTCTTGCTATGGCCAGCAAGGAAGTACTCCATGTGCTGTAGGGTAATTTCCACTCTGGTGTCTGAAGCACTTCCTTCCTTTCTTTTCTCTGACCTAGGTATTAGCAGGATTGCCTATTACACTTTTCCTTCCCTCACTCCTCACTGCCATGTTGTGTTTTTGTCCTTTCTTAATACACTGTGACAGCGCTGCCACCTTTTTGTCTGCTGGGCTGATCTGTCCCCTGCAGTTGGGCTGCTGGAGCAGGCCTGAACTGACCAGAAACAGCTGTGTCTGGCATGGGGCAGGCCTGGCCTCTGCTCACAGAGGGCCCTGTGCGGACCCTCCCCTGTAGGCCCATGTCCAAAACCTGGATGTGGACACATGATATAAGTAACATGATGAAATAGAGTTACTGCAAATAAGTAATTGCATGTAGAGAGACACACATAAACTGTCCCCAAACACACTGACACTTCTTATCTGCTCATCAACTGGCCTAATCTTTGATAAAATGAAAAATGAAACATTTAACAACACATTTACAGATACTGAACACAGAATTATAAAACTTCTAGTAGGCACAACTTTAATAAATTATTTTGCATTTTCCTTAAATTTTGCATTTTTGTTTTTATATATAAGGAAAATCTATAAATCAATATATCTATTAAAATCTGCATGGAAATAATATGCATGGAAATAGTGCTCTAACAGACATCTAGTAAGCATCAATTAGTTAAAAGTTGGTGCAGAACCAAAGTCCAGACATCTGTGTCTTGGCTTTCGAATGACAGCGAGATCTGAAATGAAGTGCACTACAGTGCAAGGAGATGAATTGTGTGCTAATCGACAATATAGAGACAATTGTAGCACTGATTGTCATAGCAACTGGATCATAACAGAAATCAAATATTTTGACATTATGCTAAGGCTTAGGCTTTGTACTTACATGACTTAGTACATAGCAATGAAGCAAGCTCTCACACTTAGCAGGGCTGCCAGTCCATGCAGCCCTCAGGAATGAAAAGGTGATAGAAAATGATCAAGGATCTAACCACTTCCTTTGGAACAGCCAACAGTCCTGGGATGTATGTTATATTCAGCCTATCCACACTCCAGTGGTATTAACAACAAATGTTACGAATGAATAGAGGATAATTGGCTCAAACCTGCCAGCATGAATAGGTCTGGAAACCTTCCAGTAGTAGCCTCACACGCCACCTCTCTCAGCATGTTCCTTTGCTGTTGCAGGTAAGAACGGGAGACTGCCGTGACAGACTGCTGTGGCTGGTCATTTATTGCACTACTTGGTGTTGTGGTTTAATCCCAGCAGGCAGCTCAGCACCAGAAAATCATACGCTCACTCTCCCTGGGTGGGATAGAAGATAGAAGTGGAAAGGTAAAAGTGAGAGAACTCACAGGTTTGCATAAAGACAGTTAACTAAGTAAAGCAAAAGCCACATGCATAAGCAAAGCAAAACATGGGATTCATACATACTTCCCATCAGCAGGCAGGTGTTCAGCAACTTCCAGGAAAGCAGGGCTCATCATGCATAACGGTTTCTTGGGAAGACAAAAATCATCACTCTCAATCATAGAATCATAGAATATTCTGAGTTGGAAGGGACCCGCAAGGATCATTGAGTACAGCTCCTGGCTCCATACAGGAACACCCCAAAATCAGACCCTGTGTCTGACAGCATTGTCCAAATGCTTCTTGAACTTCTCCTTTAACCCAGTTTTATTGTTGAGCACAACATGAGATGCTATGGAATATCCCTTTAGTCAGCGTGGGTCATCTGTCCTGGCTGTGTCCCCTACCAGATCCTGCTGCACCCCTGGCCTCCTCACTGGCAGGGCAGCACAAAAAGCAGAAAAGTCCTTTGGCTTTGTGTGAGCACTGCTCTGGAACAACTAAATCATTGGTGTTTTATCACTATTATTTTCATCAAAAATCCAAACCACAGCATCATACCAGTCTCTGTGAAGAAAATTAACTCTATCCTGGCTAAAACCGTGCCATTTGGTTATACAGCTAAGAGCCAAAAATAGTTTACTATCACTCTTCAATAAGTTTAGCTTGGTTTTCAAGAATGCTGAGTAATGTCCCTCGTCTGAGGAATCCCATTGCCTTTAGCCAGCAAGAAGAACATGAGCATTTCAAGGTAAGCTTGTAAGACACATTAACATTTTTATTAAAATAAAATAAAATAAAATAAAATAAAATAAAATAAAATAAAATAAAAGAGGAGAATGTGCAAACTTGCAAACATTTATCTCTTCTACCAAATTAGGAAAGTTGCACAACTTTTTAGTGAAGTTTTGTGTTACTTTTATCATATGAGAAGAAGAGCTATATATTCATTAATTTCTTAGCTGCACTAGTTATTAGAATTAAAAATATTGTACAGGTTATGTAAGGATCAGATGACAAATTTTACATTTAGTGGTTGCCTTGCTTGCCCATGCCACATTAACATTTCTAAGGCAGAATCCTCCTTCTCCCAAACTTTATTTTTATTTCAATTTTACAGGGGACAAAACACTGGTAATTTAGTGTAATAAAACCTGCCCCATGTTAAATTTGTGCCACTGACAGTACAACAGTCAGGAAAGGAACATAGCCATTTTACTACACTATGCCAAGAAGCATTGCTCAGCATGATCTCTTCTGCTGATTTCTGACAAGATCGGAAGAGTTTAAACAGGTATTAAAATGCCAGTACAGATTACAACATTACTATTAATAGTACCAGTCACCTTCCCCAAAGGAAAAAATATATATATTCTGAATAATAGTCAATTTACATATATATATATTAAATATGTATATATTAGCTAGAACAGAATCCTGGGACTTTTCCAGGTGTCAGGTCTCATTCATATTAGTAAAGCAGTGGCAGTATACTGACAACATTCACAAAAGAACTGTCACATATGGTGTGATTAAAATAGAACTGGCAAATTCTATTGTTTGACCTGAGATGCATCGAAGTGGTGCAACACTTTATGAGAAAGTTGAAAATGCTGCTCTAGATTAGGCTAAAGAAGATTGGATTAACTCCTCAGATGTAATAGTCCCTTTTATAGCTAGCTGAGGACCTGGCTATATGGCTATATAATATGGCTATTATGAGGTACTGAGGTCAACATCTTCACAAGTTCTATTTTCTGCAGCATTGCAGAGAGTACAAACTAATGCCAATTGAGAGATTTGCAGTTTTCAGTATTTTCTGGTTCTGTCTACCAAAGATGTAGAGGTGAATCTTGAAAATCATTAAAAAAATAAATAATAAAATTTAAAAAATAAATAATAACATCTCATTGGCATTAGTGTGGATATGTTCATGAGGTCAACAGACCCAACATTGCACATTCCCTAAAACAAAATACCTCAACAATATAAAATAGAATAAGGATACAAAGATAAAAAATAGAAAAATGTACTAATTTGTCATTTTCACATTCCATGGAAAGTTATTTAATTGGGAAAATTGAGGGAGAGACAGTCTATTGTATCTCAGCCAATATGAGTAGGTTTTTGTTGTTGTTGTTATTTTAAATATACAGGGGGAAAAAAAATGCTTATTTTGAACTTGAAGCTGAAGTTATGACTCAGAGGACTTCTGTGTAGATGAATTTAAAATCGTCTGGTTTTATTTCACAAGGCAAAAAAAATGGTTTTGTATATACAACATAGATTTCTGCAAGCTATTTCTCTAATAGATTTCCATTAGCAAGCGGTTACACATAAGAAGTTAGTTGTAGTCACTCACAGCCACTGAAAGCTCGGTTTTGGGGGGGGGATTTTATCCAAAACTACTATTGAACACCATCAGATAGGCCTCTGTCATAGTCTGAGACTAGGCAGTGAATGAATAATGGACTTTGAAGCACAATTTCAGGCTCATTTAAATCAGTGATAGGATGATAAAGCATTTATATCCTAATATCGATTCTCTTACCATAAATATGATAAAATATTACTGATGACAATAAATGAGAGTCTGGCTTTTATAGTTATAAACACTGCTCAGGTAGAAAACAGGTCAGTTATAGACTTTCACTGCAAATAGTAAGATAGTGAGCAGATATACCATTATTTCTAGTCATAAAAAAATGATAATAATAATAAAAAAATCCTACGGTAGAAATATATTGCTAACAGCTGGGCAAACTCAACAAGGCATGTTGTAGTATCTCTTGATTTACATGTGTAAGAATATTTTGAAATTAAGAAGCCGCAGATGCAATTGTCTTTTCTTTACACCCCACACTCCTTTATCAAACTGGTTGCAGATGATTCTTTCAATGACTGGTTTCTCTTGCTAACCATTCTGCTCCCTTTGCCCCTCCTGACGAGCCTCCACTGAGACTCAAAGGTGCAGCTGTTTGGTGATGAGCTACACTTACCTGACCTGTGGTCTGTTCCCTCTCAGGCCTCCAAGTGGTATCATGCTCCCATGTCCCATGGAGAAGCCCATGGTGAAGCCCAGCCCAACCAAGGCCATTTGCCGAGGCGATCGGCTCCGGGGCAGACGAGTTCTGCAGCGGCGCGGGGGACGGGCCAGGCAGGGTAACTTTCCGGCATCGATCCGACTTCAGGGAGCCGCAGGAGCCGGCAGGGGCCTGATGAGGGAGGATGACGAGGCGAAGAGCGGAGCCAGCAGCGCCCCCTGCCGGCCGTCAAAAGCAGCCCATAGGAGCGCGAGCGACCAGGAGCGCGGCGAACAGGGCGGGCAAACAGGGGCGTGGAAACATCTTTAGATGCAGTATTTTGTCATTTCTCTATTTGACATTTTTCATATAAAACTACAAGAATTATAGAGACAGTCTTATTAGTCAGTTACCTAGCTTCTAGCAGTTAAAAAAGTTCCCTGTTAATTCAGTTGCACAGCTACAATTATTGCAGCTTGAGTCTTTCAGGTCTACATAGCATTTTTGCAGCTTAGAGAAGAAATTTGATTTGCTTTTCAAAAGAGAAGTTTGAAAGTTCTTTTCCTCCTTAAAACAAATAGATAAGTAATTTAGTGCTTCTCCTAAAAAAACAAACAAACAAAAAAACTAAATATGTGAATGTATGTTTTAAATGATTAGCTACAAACATAAGAAAAAAGTTCTGAAATGTTATTTAAACTATTTTCATTTGTCTTGATTCAGTTTCTGTACAGGGAAGAAAATAGTAAATTGTTCTTTTCATTCTGAAGTCAAGGAACATATTGAAAATTTATAGGTAGTCTATGTATCTTTCATGTCCTGTGAATCTGCACAATTAGTTGCCCTGCTTCTCACTGAGTGGTCTTTCTCCTTCCTGAGTCCAGATGCTGCCCTATGTTAAATAAGAGACAGTTCCAGCCAGCCTGAGAAAGAGACCTGCCACTGGCCAAAGCTAAGCTGATGAGCAATGCTGGCTGCACTTCTGTGAGAGCATATTTTAAAAAGTTTAAAAATGCTGAAACAGAGCACCTGGGAGAGAAGAATGAGAAAATGTTGAGAGAACCAACCTTGCAGACACCTAGTTTAGCAAAGAATGAGGGGAAGATCTCCAGATGCCAGAGCAAAAGTTCACTTGCAGCCTATGGAGAAGGCCATGGTGGAACCGGTGGTCTGGGAGGAGTTGCAGCCCATGTGGGATCCATCTCATATCCACATCTCTCTCCAGGTGGAGCAGTCAATTCCTGAAAGACTGCATTCTGACCCATATTAGAGCAGTTCTTGAAGAAGTGCAGTCTGCAGGAACCCCACATTGGATCATTCAGGGAAGGATGGCATCCCATGGGAAAGACCCCATGATGGAGCAGGGGAAGAGAGTAAAAGTGAAAGAATGGCAAAGATGAAGTGTTATGGACTGATCACAATCTGCATTACCAATTCCCCATTCTTCTACGCCACCTGGGGGGAAGAGGTAAAAGAAGGTAGATGGGAGGAAGATATTTTTAATGTGCTTTTAGTTCTCACTGCTTTAGTTTGTTTTTAGTTGGCAATAAATTGCATTAATCTCCCTTATGCTGAGTCTGTATTACCCATGCTGCTTGAGTAGTTTCCTTGTCCTTATCTCAGCATGTCAACCCACAAGCTTTTTCTTCATTGCATTTTCTTCTCCTGACCTTTTGAGGAGGGGAAATGAGAGAGTGGCGTGGTGGAGTTTAGCTCCTAATCACTGTTAAACCACCACAATTACTCTGTATACAATCTCCTTTATGAGTTAAAAAGTAAAAAAAAAAACCAAACAACAACAAAAAAGTGTGTTTCCCCCAACCCAATCTTTTGTTGTTGTTAATTTCCTGTAGCCATAAATATCTAAACTGTTTTGCTTGCTCACTTTCATATAGTGAATATAAACACTGTCTGAGCCATTTCCCAAAAAAAAAATGGTGAACACTGTGCTCTCACAGATGTTTATTCTCTTTTAAAAACCTACCGTATCTTTAGGTTCAGATGTAGTTCAAGAAAACAGCAGGGGAATATAATACATGAACGATTTGTCTATGTTCAATTAAAGTTGTGTTGAATAGTGTAACCATAAGAAATATTTTGTATTGTAAAACAATATCCTTCAAGGTAAAGCTTGAATTTATTAAGAATATAATCAAGTTTTATACCTTTTTCACTATTCAATCTGTAATCTATAACTCTCTTAGGCTCTAACAACAATTCATTATAATTCAACAATATGATAAAAAAGCTCTGGAAGGTTATTGGATTTTTTCAGTCAGCTCATCTGTCTTTTAAAGAAAATTTATTTCATAAATCTTAATATGTTTGTTGTGGTCTAGAAGGGAATTCTTCTGACAGTTGTTTTAAGAAGAGCTAAAGTCAATGTTTTAAAAAACATGTTTATACATTAAGATATAATAAAAATTGCACCAATCAAACAATTTAATAGATGTTCAAAAGTACAGGTAAACACCCTTAATTGCGGGTGGAGAGTTAACAATTATGCGAGGTTTCCTCTTCCTCCAGATAATCATTTTAGGTCTGTTTTACTAATTATGCGTGATACAGGGTTATACTGACTTTTGTCCAATAACTCTGTCTCTAAAGGAAGTGAGTACTTCAAACATTTTCCTCTCAGAAGTGACCTTCCACCTTGAATTTGTCTTCAATAGAAAGATCAACAGAAATATTAATATTTATTCATCCATTTAGTCTTTTGGAAACCTATATACCTGACAGAAATGTGCCATAGAAAATGGTTACAATGAACAATGGCAGTATTTCTCCCATTTCTTCCAAATCCCTCTTTGTTTGTATATTCCACTTGATAGTGACCCTCAGAAAACAAACTCAGGTCCAGAGGAGATGATCAGAGGGCTAGGGCACCTCTACTATGAAAACAGGCAGAGAACGTTTGGATTATTTAGCCTAAAGAAGAGGAAGTTCCAGAGAAGCCTTACTGCAGCCTTTCAGTGTTTGAAGGGAACCTACAGAAAAAATGGGAAAGGACTCTTTAGTCAAAAGGTAATGGTTTTAAACTCAAAGGGGGCAGGTTTTGGTTGGATATTAGGAACAATTTTTTTTTTTTTTGTGAGGGTATTGAGGCACTGGAACATGCTCAGAATGACCTCTCCGTGGAAATGTTCAAGAACAGTATGGATGAGGCTTTGAGCAACCTAGGCTAGTGTCCCTTCCAAACTAAACCATTCTATGATTCTGTGATTCCACGAGCAAGAGTTAAGAGGCAGAAAATCATATATATATATACCTATAAATAAATAAATAAATAAATAAAACTACTTGTCATAGTATAAATAGTGAAGAAATAGTGAAGCTGTGGGTAGATTAATTAAGCATTTTACTTTGTCAGATCAATCTTTCAATATAATCAGTTACATTTTTAGTATTAGTGATATTTTTTAAGGATGTGGAAAACTTTAGAGGCCATGAAGAGATCTAAAAAATAATAAATTTAGGCACTAAATAAATAAATTTAGCTCAATCCAAGTGAAAAAAATAAAAGAATAAAAATAAAAAAATCCAAAGCTGACTTGGTGACAATGTCTATTTATTTATTTATTTATGGTGGAGGTGAAGACACTAAATCACAGAATTGAAGGGGTTGGAAGGGAAAGATCATCCGGTCCAACCCTCCAGCCAAAGCAGGTTCCTTAGAGCAGGCTGCCCAGGTAGGCATCCAGATGGGCCTTAAATATCTCCAGAGGAGACTCCACAACCACCTTGGGCAGCCTGTTCCAGTGCTCCATCATCCTCACCGTGAAGAAATTCTTTCACATGTTGGTGTGGAACTTTCTGTGCTCTATCTTTGTCCATTACCCCTTGTCCTGTCCCCACAAACCACTGAAAAGAGGTTGGCCAAGTCCCTTTGTCTCCCACACCTCAGGTATTTATACACATTGATGAGATCTCCTCTCAGTCTTCTTTTCTCCAGGCTGAACAGACCCAGGTCTCTCAGCCTTTCCTCATAGGGAAGATGCTCCAGGCCCCTTATCATCTTTGTGGCTCTTCATTGGACTCTTTGCAGGAGAATAGTAAAGTGGTTCTTAAAATAGTGGATAAGAACAGGATGTGAAGTGCAGGTCTGAGACTAAATATTCTAATATATAAGGAATGGTCATCATCTGTGCAGAACTGGTACTGCTAAAGTGCATAAGTAAAAGCTTGATCAATGAATCATAAAGTTTACCAAAAGATAGGGTAAGAATCAGTCTGCAGACATTGTACCAAATTGCATTATTTTCCAACTTGCAAACATATGCTTCTCCCAATTAGAATAACAAGATGTAAAAGGAAAAATTATATGGCCCTAAAATGCTCAGCTGTAATAATTCTCCCCTTTGCACTGGAACCAGCATTCATAACAGTTACAAGATAGCAAAGTCTCCATATCCTTCTAGAACTGCTATTACTTAAATTTTGAGACTATATATCACCAAAGACAAGAAGAAAGCTCTTAATCTCAAAATGGAGATGGGTCTGTGACATGATTTGCTGTGTCAGGGGCAGTCCAAGATCATATAATGCAGTTGTCCCATTCCCAGGCAGTCAGGAAGGCATTACTGCATGTAATGACCTCAGAGGAAACACTGGGTCAGTAGTGTCACTGAACTGTTTCTTACCTCACATATATGGCAGTAATCTTTTTATAATAGATTTTAGACAACCAAAATAAAAAGTGTTGTTATGTCACTTCTGCCTATAATAAGCATTGCTGAGTTATGTAAAAGAAATTTGGTTGGAGATAAAATCCTAAAATTGGCATCTGCCTAACCATAGTTTTGGGAATAGCTGAAATAACTTCATATTTGGCCCAAGGACTGCTTTAAATGCTGAATTCAAATGCTACCAGACATCACAATTTTTACAGCTGAAAACCAAAACAACAAAAGCAAATAATAATAATAATAATAATAATAATAATAATAATTATTATTATTATTATTATTATTATTATTATTATTATTATTATTGTTGTTATATCATAGTAATAAAATAATTATTATTATTAATATTTAATGATTATAATGATAATGATAATGATAATGATAATGATAATAATAATAATAATAATAATAATAATAATATGCGGGAGTTGCAGTTCTTACTTTAGGTATTGACTCTTTTCAACATTAAGGCAGCATAATTTCA